TCATGAAACTAAAGCCAAACATCCTAAATAAATACTTTGCATCAGCAATCTCAGCCCCAGGAGACAAAGACATATTACTTTATTTGAACCAAGTAGACAACATCGGAGATATACAAGTACAAGAAAAGGGATTCCAAAAACTATTAGCCAACATGAAACCTAATAAAGCATCTGGACTTGATGGTATTCCAGCTAGATTACTCAAAGAACTAAGCAGTGAGCTAGCACCAGTGTTAAAAATACTTTTTCATGCATCTCTTAACCAGGGCAGAGTATCAAAGGACTGGAAAGAAGCTAATGTCACCCTCCGCCCCCCTCCCCCATTTAAAAAAGGAGAAAAATCTGACCCAGGAAACTACAGACCAGTATCACTTACCAGCATCACATGTAAAATCCATTATAAACCACTTAGACAAACATAATGTCCTTACTCCATACCAACATGGCTTTAGGAAATATAGATTATGTGAAACACAACTAATAGGACTAATTGATGATTTTTCAAAAGGTTTAGATAATAGTGAACAAATAGATGCTATCTTACTAGATTTTTCTAAGGCTTATGACAAAGTTCACCACCATAGTTTGCTTAAAAAATTAAAATATTTTGGCATTAGTGGTCCATTGGATTAGAGATTTTCTGATAGGGAGAGATGGCTCTAAATCGACACCGATAACAGTAAACTCATGTGTACCTCAAGGAACAGTCTTAGGTCCACTACTATTTTTAATTTACATAAATGATTTACCAAAGAGCATTAGTTCAGGAACAAAAGTCAAATTATTCGCAGACGATTGCATAATATATAGAACAATAAACACTTCACAAGATACAGAAATTTTACAAAGAGAATTAGATGAATTACAGAAATGGGAATCAAACTGAAGCAAGTCTTTCCACCCAGAAAAATGTCAGTTATTAAGAGTAACAAAAAAACTAAAACAAATTAATTCCACTTATCTTATTCATGGTAAACCAGTAATGCAGAATAAAAATGCAAAATACCTAGGTGTTATAATAAATGAAAAACTATCATGGAATCCCCATATTGAAACTATCAAACAAAGCATTAGGGTTTATTAAAAGAAATCAAATAAGAACAAAACTAAAAAGTTATTTAATCTTGGTTAAGCCAATAATAAAATATGCCTCCTCTGTTTGGGACCCCTCAACTCAAGAAAACATTACGAAACTGGAACAGACACAAAATAGAGCAGTGAATTTCATAACAAATGAATATTCACATTTGACTAGAGTAACACCTTTAGTAAAATCACTGAATTTAGAAAGCCTTCAGGATAGAATGCTAAAAAGTAAAGAAGAAATTATACATAAAACACTGAACCATAATCTTCAAATACAAAATTTAATAAAATACTCAAAAAGACACAAAGACAAAGGCACATTTCTTATTCCATATGCAAGGACAAATTTGTACAAATGCTCCATCTTCCCTAGTGTTATTAAAGCATGGAATAGGTTGCCTAAGCCAACCAGGAAAACCAGTGACTTGGCAGAATTAGGCTCACTGGTTAATATACATGGCTAATTGCATGATGCGTAGGACGTAATCATCTTCTTTATGGAAGTAACGTCTGTTTTAGATAAGATAAGAAGATAACATAAGAGCAGCCTATAAATTCATCAACTTTTAAATATCAACAAGGAATGAAGTCTGTGTGTGTCCAAAACTAGTCAGTGTAAAGACTTGGCAATGTCTAGCTATTCTACGTTGTTATACCGTTCATTATCAGTCTGTTGCTGTGTCACTTAATTCTAATTTTTCCTTTCATATCTCACTTGATTTTCATCATAGGGGTGATGTTATAAACCTACCACTTGTTCAAGTCAACAGCTGTTCTTACCAGAATATTAAGAAAGAGGCTGATCCATTCTTTCACGTTCTCCAGCCATCTTTTCTTTGGATGACCCTCAACTGTACCTTGAAGGATGACTTAAATGATTTCTTAAAATGTAACCAAACCAGTTCAGCTGGTGCCTCTTCATAGTATTGTTACGAATCTCACTATCCAGGCTCTCTGCACCTTACAACACCAACTTAAAGAACTTGACAACTCCGGGCTTCAAAATAACGTAATAGTTTAATGTCAATAAATAACAGCCAATATTGTACAATTGGCAGCACGTAACACACGACTGTACAAATATCTCTCCGTTAATAGCCGTACCGCCGTATCGACTCTTGCACTGGTCTCTCCGTCTCGTCTCGGACTTGTACTGAGCCGTCGTAACGAGCTGTAGATTGGGAAGTTGTGTCTGCCTGGCCTCTGATACCTTCTTTCTTTATATAGGGTCCCTGCTGGCCTTCTAGAACCGGACAGAACGTCGCTCGACAATTCTGGGTGGTCAGATGACTACATCCCTCGTGACGCTCCTGAGCTCTGTTCACGATGTCGATCCTTCCCGAACCATTATGTTGACACTCGTCTCGGCCGACCGTCATAACTCGTCACGGTTGACCGCTCGTCTAGCGCTGGGGCGATTTGCGTCGGCTGACTACACCACTTCCCCCATCTGTGCCACCACCAGGTTTATAACAGTATTTAAGAGCTCCTCCTTTTTGCCAGCTAGAGTTTTGATTTGTAAAAGTGTTAAGCGTGGTCGAGAGGCTAAGTGCGCTTGAACTTGGCTTGGCTACTTATGAAGGGGGCTCGAGGTTCGGCAGAGTTGTGATTACTGAGTGCCTAAAGGCAGCACGGAAAAACCTTCTCCTAGATACCCCCTCCCCCCACTGGTCCACAACTGAGATTGGACCAAAGCGCTCTGAGCATGCTATAAGCATGAAAGTAGCGCCATATAAAAGCCATACTTTATTTTTAAGTACAGTTATCTGATAGCCACCATTTTTCTGTAGCGTTTACTCTCAAAGTCTTGAATTCTTCCTTCAGCCTTGGCTACACAATACAGCAGCACAAGTAAGCCTAGCATTGAAAATTAATAAGATGTTGAAATGATAAAACATTGAAATGATAAGCAAATCAGATTGGAAAAATCCTCTCGTTAAAGATTTATTTTTAATATGGAAGGTAGTTAGACCTAATAAAGGTATTAATCAGTATCAGGCCAGAGATAGTTTGAAAACATTGACATTCAATTGTATTGTAATTTATAAATCAAACTATTAGCTCTTTAAGCACCACATTTATTGCAGAGATAAGACTAGAGTGTGATATTTTATTGACTCTGGATGAAATTGTTGAAAAAGAAATAAATCTTAAAATTATTTCATTCCTTATCAATACATACAACCACCATATAAATATATGGGCATATATTCATGTCTTCTAGGACTTCTTAAAACACCTTAGCAAGAAATATAATTCTAAATTTAAAAAAAATTAATTCCTAATTTAATGGTATATTCAACCTGAATATTAAACTATTACATTCATATTTTATTTTTCACAATTTTGTTGATATAGATGTATGATGAAAATCACAATATATACATCAGTGATATTCGCCATGGCATTTTCAATTCTCTTCAAAAATTCCCCCCCATCTTTTGCCCTAGATGTCATTTTTTTTCCCCCTAAAGCCCAATTCGTCACTCATGCCTGATGATTTTAAAGTGTAAATAATACTAAAACTTGAATTTTGATACTTGATAGTGACATTGTGCATCAAACTCATTTTAATAAAATTTAGAATATTGTTTCATTAATTATTGAATCAATATAAGTTTGGTAACTTTTACATATATACCTCCTATATTTGATAAGGGAATATCCAAATCCTTGATGGTCCTCCATTAGTACAAAGACTTTGTAAGTTTTAACAAATTAAATTGCAGACTTCACTTGATCAAATATGTCTGTTTTCCATTTTAACATAAATTAGGAACTGTTTAAATTTTAAAGTAAAATTAAAAAAAAAAAGAAATCCAGCGAATAGAAATGTTCATCATTGTCAAAAAAAAAATGAAACTAAAAAAATGACATTCAGAAGTGTGCTAAATTCTTTGATTTTTACTATTCAGACCACAAAGATGGAGAAAACTTTAAAGCAATGACAGTTTTTATACAAAATTAGCAATGACGGATCAAGTTACTTACAGCGTCTGTATCTGCTTATAATGCTATAAGAAGAAAGAATGGGAATAGCAAATATACAGTTGAATCCAGTTCATTGGTCCTAACAAGTGAAGAGTCTTACAAACCTGATTTAAATGTATAATACCGGTAGGATAGTTTTCAGTATAGGATTTAGTCTGAATAAGCAGCTGTTTCAATTAAATGGATTTTACTATATATGAAAATGGATCATATTTTCATCTAAAGTGTAAATAGTGGAGTCAACTGCAAACATTTTATTACAATCATCTTAATCTGTCTGGTGAAAAGGTATTCTCCCATACCCATGCTTGGATCAAGTTGAAATTTTGCTCAATTATTCATTGATAATACATGAATCAATAGTTTTTTTTTTATTCATACCAACAAGGGAAATTAATCCTTCAGTGTTTAGGGTTATTTCTCCCACACCCATTCCCGGATCAAGCTGAATCTTTAAACAATTATTGTCTCTATTATAACATGAATCAAAATAAAAAAAATAAAAAAAGGAACCACTTCATTAATTATTTGAAATTATTTTTTGGTTTTATATTGAATAAGGGAAATAACTTTTTACATTTTAGAGATATAGTAAGTGCAGTTATACCTCTTAGATAAACTTTTGTCATTAAAAAAAGATGATTTTTTTCTTTTTAGTTTCCTTTTTTTTCTATTGCCAAACTAAAGTTTCCTATTTATTGCCAATCTAGCCAACCTTCTTTGATCAGCTAGATAGTGATCCCTTTATAAATTTATTAACTTAATGTAAACACAATATGTTTCTGGGATGTAACTGGATGTTGCATTTTGATTTTGAAACATCTCAAAAAGTGAACTGCAAGATGAAGAGAAGAAACAATAGAACTAAAGGCAAGGATTACACCTTTGTTTCACTGACATTCAATTCAACACCAACAAAGGTAGTTACATTGATTTAAAACATTTATTCAAATAATACAATTTGCATTTAATTCATTATATCTTCCAACAACCTTTGTAGCCAGACAAATTACAACTGCTGATAACATTGTTAAGTATGAGGGCTTGAAGGACAGACAATAATGATCCTAAATCATAATCCATCCTTTTTTATTTAAGACAGCAAAGCCCCTTTGAAATCTATTTTATATTGCCAGTCAGCTTCTTTTACACTTCCTCTTAAGAACAAAATTAGTGTTATTTGCAGACTTAACGTTCATCATGCAATCTTCGAATCCACCACCATGTCTATCACATGAGAACCTGTTTTGAATATGAATGTTGTTTTTTTTAGATGAACCATTTAAAAAAACAGCATAAACTTATCCTTTAAAAGAAGCTATTCCTGGATTTACATGCAGACTCATGATGAGCTTATTATACACAAGAGTCTGTAAACCAGAGAACAGTTGGCAATCAATGTAACAGATATCATACAGGTATGAATTTATCTTAAAGACAATGTGAAACAAACAATTGACTGCATTTCTGGACCAACAATAAGTTACAAACTTTTTCATTTCAAATTATCTATGAGTTCTAGTTATAGGGCAGAGGAGAGGAGAATGGAGTTGAAACAATTTTAAATTGAGTGATCAATAAGCTCACAGCACAGGCCAAGATAATAATTTCAAAAAGCAATGAACATGTTCAGTTATGTATTGTCACACATATCATCAAACAACAAAATCCTCAATATCACACACGCTAAACAGTCTAGTTTGGCAGCAGCAGGGAGAGGGGGGGGGGGGGGGGGAATTTTGTAAAATTTTTGTAGACTAGTATGACGTCAACTTCAGAAAAGTTGCATGTAAATATCTTACTGCTATATGCAATGCTTTATCCTCATACAACGCTTAATGAAAGGAGTGAAAAATTTAATGTCATCAGGACATTTTCTACATAAAATGTTCAAGAGAATCAAATTTATATATATAATGATTGCTATAAAGAAGTCAAACCTATCCATATCAGTCACCACTTAGTTAAGCTAACACATCTGTGAATGGAAACAACATCTGAGATTAAAGCATCTGTTTTCAGCCTGGATCACAAATCAACTGTGTCTTCATTCAGTTCTAATGTTTCTAAGTCATCCTCTATCAAATCTATATCCTCTCCATCAAACAACTCCTCATCAATGTCAAGGTTGCCATTGACTGTGGCACCCACCGCAGCAGCGATTGCAGCATCAGTTTCATCCTCCTGAAGCCTGGAATCACTATCAGTTGAGAGAGCGGCAGCTTCATCCAGTTTACTGGCTTCCTCTGGGAGAAAAAAAACAACATTTGAACTATTTGCTTCCTAGATTTACTTGCAATAACTTAACCAATTTTAGTTACATTTAATATATCTAGAATTCCATATAACCCAATATTCTGTAAATTAGGTATCTGATTCAAATGAGTGTATTATTTCAATATTATAAATTTTTTCCATTACAGAGAAACTAACAAAAAAATATTTTTTTCTGCATTTTTTTAAGGAATTTATTTAGGCCAGACCTGCCTACCAAAAAAGTCCAAATGCGTAACGCTGATGGCACCAGAATGCGTAACACTTACGCGATCCACTATTTTGTCATATATATATATATATATAATATTACATCTAGATGTCATGATTAGATCTACACCACACTACAATCTAAATCTAGATCAATACGACAATAGAGATGATATCTAGACTAGATCTGGATCTATGTCTATATAATGAATATAATCTACTCTAGATCTGGGCTCAAGAGTGTTACCGATGCCGTGGATCTGCTACAAACGTAGGTCTACTCCAAACTTTCATAGGCCTACCTTCATCCTTGATCTATTCTATACTAAGACTAAGAATCTAGTCTAGATCTAGACTAGATGGTAGCAGATGTTATCGATCTAGATCTAGTCAATCTAAATCATACTACAACTAAATTGGATCTTGTAATGTTGAGAATCATGACATAATGTAATGACTAGCTAGACTCTAGCTAGATCTATTCCTGTATAAGTATACTATAATTGTATAACAAGTTTTCTAGATTTAGATCTAGATTAGATATCAACTATGTCACTCAATGTGTTTTGAATAGCACTTCTATTTTTTTTTTTTTTGCTATACAAATGAATACGGGAATCAGGGATTCAACATAATTAATTTCTACTAATGAACTTCCAAAAAAAAAAAAAAAAAAGTCACGTTGGTGTATCAGCTAACTGACGGTACCAACTTACAACCAACCCTTCACTCCCTCGCGTTCTTCATTTCTAGACTAAATCTAATTGCTTTTAAGAACCAATCAACGTATAGATCTGGACACAATGTGTTCCCCCACCTTTTCTGACCCCCCCCCCCCACCAGCCCAACAGGACGGCTTAGCGTGACCTCTGTGACCGCTCGTAAGCTAGTCAAGAGAAGAAGAAAAAAAAAGGATACAAAATGCGTAACGCGACGGGTTAAATGCGTATTTGCGTACTAACGGTCATTTTTGGGAGATTTTGCGTAACGGTAGGCAGGTCTGTTAGGCCTAGCTGAACCTTTCTGTTTATTTTAAAGTTTTGCTAACATTATTTATGTGGTAAGTTGATTGAATAGGAAAGGCTTCTACAGCAGTGGCAAAACTCTCAAAACGCGTGTGAGAAAATACCAAATTGACTACAGCAACAAAAATCCTAGTCTACAAAAATCAGTCACTGCAGATTCTGCCCCATCTAGACCAAAGCCAGTGACTCAAATGACTCATCTGAGCGCATCCATTGTCTTCCTAAACAGAAGGAGCCTTATATAAGTAGATTGACCAGTTAGTTGGGTTACCCAATGCAGGTTCTAGATACTTCTTATGAAACAGTGCTGAAGTTCTGCCAAAAGTAACAATTCTAACAAGGGTTTGAAACAGGAACTTTCCATGCTGTTAGGAGAGTAGAGAACTGTAGGCCTGGTATGACAGCATTTTTATAAACTATATTTAAAAAATGAAATATGTTGTTCCACTTACCTGTATTTTTTAAATTTTTTATCATATCCTGTAAATGTTGAAACCTGTCTGCAGAGGCCTGTGTCCCAGTGTTGTCCACTTCTACAGCGACCCACTGACCTTCACTGATATCTACTATATTGGTGTCTGGCTCCTACAACATGAAATCCCAACATTAATATATTTTTTTTATCTAGCCTTACTGCTAAATAACACAACAATTATTTTAAAAAAAATATCCTAGATAGATAAGTACAATTAATAGTACAAATTATACTGAAAATCCTTTTTTTTTTTTTTTTTCAAATTGAAATTTAACATTTTTTTTTACCATTAATTAGTTTGAAACATGTGAACAAAGTGAATGAATTGATAAAAAGATAAAAGTCAAATCATGCAGTATAAAATAGGGCTATATCAAAGTTCTGATATTTAGAAGGTTTTCTCAAGACCCAGGTAGGTTCATCTGAACACATGATAAAATTATGTATTTACTTTACAGTTCAATGAAAAGATCATGTTGTGCAACTGACTAAAACAGTGTTTCTCAAACTGTGTGCCGCCAGAGATTTGCAGGTGTGCCGCGGGTGTTTTCAGAACGCCACAAGTGCAGCCTTACACAGGTCTGCCTATAATCCTATAATAAAATTTTTATTTTACGTTGCGATGACATCCCCACTTGCAAAGACCAGTAATAGTAGTGGAGCGCTCCATAGTGACGGAATTATAATGACTCAAATGTAGGCCACCTTAGCAAACTCACATCAGTTCTTGAATTGATAACGATAATAATGTGATAGTAAATGTTATTATTTTGTCAGGCCCGTCCTGTTATTGTAACCCAGTAACCCACATTGATGGCATTTTGAAAGAATGTGCTAATTAACAGATGGGGGGGGGGGGGGGGGGGGGGGGGGGGGGTAATTGAATTCTTTTTAGGCCTTTATATATGGACGATCTAACATGAATAAACCAGCATTTAAACTTTAAACAGACAAGAAAGTGTTTGTTAGTCTCTACTAGCCTACTATTACAAATAATAAGCGACGTGTTTCATGTAATTTGTTTAGGTGTATTTTAATAATAAAAAATTATCAATAAGCATTATTCATTGTTATCCATGGAGAAATACGTTAGCAAGAATGAAACTGCGCAAGCGTTAAATGAAAAGCAAGGAACCAAACGAAGGTACAAAGAAGATTACATCGGATATGGTTTCATATCTTCGGGACCCGAAGATGCTCCATTGCCATTCTGTCTGATCTGCAATGCAACTCTGTCGAATGAGGCGCTTGTTCCAAGCAAATTGAAGAGACACTTGGAAACAAAACATCCATCTGTAAAAGCACAACCGAAGGAATACTTCGAAAACATCAGGGCTCAACAAAATAAACAAGCTAAGAAACTTACGAACTACCTAAAGCTGCCAGAAAAGGGATTGATTGCAAGTTATAAGATTGCTCAGTTATTAGCAAAATGCAAGAAAGCACACACAGAGGCTGAATCAGTCATTGCACCAGCTTTAGCAATAGTTGTTAAAACTATCCTTGGACCCGATGCCGCCGAAAAAGTTAAAAAAGTTCCTTTGTCAAATGATACTACCTCGCGCAGAATTGAAGACTTATCGTCAGACTTACAAGATCAAATCTGCGAACACTTCGAAGTGTCTCTGCTGTGGTCTCTTCAAGTTGATGAATCCACTGACGTTAGCGACAAAGCCCAGCCGCTAGCTTTTATTCGTTTCATAAAGGATGAAAAATGTGTCAACGAATTCTTATTTTGCAAAGACTTACCAACTACGACCAAAGGTGAAGATATTTTCAATGTGATGAACATAAACATTTTGCTATTCAGACTACAGTGGAAAAACTGTGTCAGCCTTTGCACTGATGGCTGTCCTTCCATGCAGGGAAATAGAAAGTTATTCATCACTCTTGTGCGTCAAGAAAATCCAAATGTATTAGTTGTTCACTACATGATCCACAGAGAAGCTCTTGCCTTCAAATCTTTGCCGAAAGATTTGATGTCTGTTCTGGATCAAGTGATTGAAGTTGTAAACTTCATCAAATCTCGACCGCTTGCATCCCAACTTTTCTCTCAGCTCTGTGAAGCAATGGAGTCAGACTACAAATGTCTGCAGTATCATACCAACGTTCGTTGGCTCTCCAGGGGGAAAAGTGTTAAAGCGTGTTGTCCAACTCAAGGCTGAGTTGATGCCATTCTTGGAGGCTGAAAAAAAAGACTTTGGATTTTCTATTCATGACGAGACCTGGTAGTGGGTTATGGTGACATTTCTCTCTGATTTATTTGACAAATTAAATTCATTGTGAATTTAAGTCTTCAAGGACCACCAGAAACCATCATCACTGCATCCTCAAAAAATGAAAGTTATTTGGTGAAAAGTTGTCTTTGTGGCAAAGTAAGATCTCTAAAGGAGTCTTCGACTGCTTTCCTACTTACAATGAATGTACTTCAAATAAAGAAATAACCCCCGAAATTCTGGACACTTTGACACACCTGCAGTCAGCATTGCAGCATTACTTTCCAACTATTGGAAGTAATGAATATGGATAGGTCAGCTCTCCATTTGGAAACAATGAAGCTACAAATCTTACAACTGAAGAAGAAGAGCAGCTCATAGATTTAAAAAACGATTCAGTTTCTAAGTCAAGTTTTGCTGAGAAAAGCCTGGATGTCTTTTGGATTTCAATCAACAAGTTATATCCTGCAAACAGTTTAAAAGCAATCAAAATAATTCTTCCATTTGCATCTAAATGGTTTTGTGAGTTTGGATTTTCACCACTGACTGAAGTCTAAGAAAAGAGAGAGACTTCTTACAATAGACGATGAAATGCGAGTTTGTTTGTCGGCTCTAGAGCCTTGATTAGATCGAATTCGCTCTCAAAAACAGGCACACCCTTCACATTAAATGTAATACTTAAAAACAGGTAAAATCTTTTTTTCTTTTTTATTATAAAACAACTGTTGCTCTTCATGGTGTGCCGTGAAATTTGTGTAGTTTTTTTACTGTGCCGCCAGACAAAAAAGTTTGAGAAACACTGGACTAA